AATGGCTTCAGTTTACCACTGATGACGATAGAAAGAGATTCTACTTCATCGGTACACACGCCGAAAACGCCGAAGATGAAGAAAGGGCATCGATGGAAGCAGAGGCTAAAAAGATATTCGGTCTTAAAACCACGGAAAATGTACTGGAAGATGGTTCACTGGTCAAAACCCTGTTCTATATAGGTTTTCCTCCAGAGGGGTCACTGAATGATCGTCTCAAGCTGCGTGTCAATGACAGCTGGAGGCAACTTCACTACTGCTTTAAGCAACCAACAAGCAACAGTCCGATAGATATTAATAAGCTATACTGCTCAATACTTTGAGTTCGCACTTTCGCATCTCATGTTATGGCCTTTCCATAATTGTTTTCTTGACTGTTGGTTTTCTTCCATTTGAACGCGATGAAGCAATTTCTGCGAGAAGTTTTTGCTTACACCGAGTTGTTACAAATCTCATGGATAGATGGACAAATTTTCAATGCACGCATTACGAAATCAAGCATAAGTCTTGTTTGTGCTTCCTATCCCTTTCGAAATACATGGTATTGGCAATTTTACAATCTACTGCAATGTATCCATGATGACTTTAAACCTTTGAGCCCATGTATAGTTGTCTGGTCAGTAACATGATCTATGCCGGATTATGTGTCGACAGTAAATGCTGTGTTATGGATTAAGCTCTGCTACTTTTAGATTCCACATATACATTTTGTACAGGAGAGTGAGGACATGTTGCAATACGAAAAATAAAGAACCAATTCTGACGCTTTCGTGAATGGAAGACCAATAAATACGCTGATCCGCTCTGTTGAAGTCATGTTTGACGTGAACAAGATTCATTTAAATTAATCTTTAAATTTAAATTAAATTAAATTAATAAATTTAAGGTAATCGCAATAAATTTACATTGCTTGCAAGAAATTGATATCATGTTTACGTAAACATGCTGCTTGGGCAGGTTTGGATAGGTTTAGTATAGTCAATTTCATCGAATAGACGATCGTGACTGACTGACTGACGCTATTTCTAACCATGTTCTAGAAGGGTTAGAAATCTGAAACTTGGTACACATATACCTTTTGGGATGCAGAGTCCAGAAAAAAAGCCGACTTTGGAGGTACTTGCCTTGGGGGTACACCTTATTGGGGGGAAACGTTTTTCTTCAATATATTTTCTGACAGATGAGGATGGCATTGAGAGTCAATTGGACATGCTGGGGTTGGTGGTGTAGTAATAGCAACTCTTACTTCCAATCAGAAGGTCCTGGTTCAATTCCCGCTCATTCTTTGGCTTTATTTTGGCTTTTATTGCCATCCATGTCCCGTCTACCATTTCCCCACCGTAACATCCATTTTGCTTAAGCAAAACGGAGAGTCATGGAAAGCTGAAACTTGGCATGGACGTGTCTATCAAGACGATGAGTTCAGTAAAAATGATTAAATAACAATTTTTCTGCTTTTATTATATTTGGATGATCGTGAGTTGCTTCATATATGGACGTAGCTGACTGCCAGACATGAGTAGCTATCATCAACCGTCGAAAAATGGTATTCTTCAGAACAAAATTTAGATGAAACTTTTCGCTTCTGGATTGCAACAACATTTAGTTTTTTCAACCCCATTATGTAGAGTTAACATATCTCTCACCTGCGCTTACAGGAAGAAAAAAAAAGATAAGCAACGTATCTTGTATTTTGAAGCCTTGACCATCAGAATTGAAATTCCCGTCGACGTTGACGGTTTTTATGTCCTGGTCAGATGCTCTTTGCTGGCTAAATCCGACGTCTCCAAGCTTGTCGTCAATCATTCCTGCGGGATGAAGATAATTCATACATCATTGCAAGGAGCTTCGTGAAATATCAGAAATGGTATTGTCCATGTGAACAAACACCACTCATGATTTTTTTATTCAATATAAATCAATATTGAAATTAACATCCTGTTGAATGGTTGGGCTGGACCTGTATATAAGGTTACATTAATGAAAAGCAAGTGTCTAATTTTTACTGAAGTCTTATTATTTGGTCCCATCAGCAAGCAGCGTCCCGTGGTTTCAATTCAATTGAAAGATGTTGAACCTCGAACGAAACTCTCCCAAATACAAACGCGAGAGATGATGGCCTTGGTGTCACTACCACCCATCATAGACTCTTGAGCGATCAAAGTGAGTTATATATATGCGAAGTATCAGATAGTGACGACAGTTCCGCAAGGCGCCATGTTTAGTCCAAGCATGCCTTTCCATTCTCTGCGCCTAACTGCCACGAATGTAAACATTTTAGCTTGGGGCAAAGTGTGGCAAAACTCAAAAAGTAGGCCTATCTCCTTTCCCAATCAAGGTCTCCCTCCTTTATCTCAAAATCCGTTGATTTTCATGAAAAACATGACTAATGTCTTCCCTGCCTTATAACATTGCCCTTTCCATGCTCCATCAATATTGGGTTGGTCAGATTTCATGTCTGGCAGATTCATCAGCCATTCTCGTAATAGCCTGCCAGAAAATAACTCATAGAGCGGCAGATCTGTGGCTTGCTTAGTACTGCAGGTGTCAGTTCCATCGATTTTACTGATGAAGGAAGGAGCCATAAAATGCAGCTTTACGGGTGACGCACTCTTACATTTGTTTACAGCCACTTACATGACCTTACACCATGTGAATTTCCCCTCAAATTTGCTCTTCGTTGTTCTGCTGAGGCCCTTCATCGCACTAGCAAGGTTAGTAGACATCAATATTTTCCCTCTAATACGGTCATAGGCCAAATAATGAAAATGTCAACGTGTTTTGGAAGTGATGAGTCAGTTGAGTTAGGAGTGGGTCGCGGCCTTGGTCCACTATTATTTTCTAATCCAGCTGGTCCATCATCCCCCAAATTGGGCTAACTTCCTTGTTCGTTCGGCAAAGCATAAAAGGCATGTGTCTCGCTTGATCTGCCTACTTCCTGCTTTCTCTGAGGTTAGTTTGTTAGGGTACTTATGAAAAAAACTTAAAATCGCTGTGTGAAAACGTTTGAGTTTCAAGCATTCAATTAATCGAGTATTTCCTTGGGAAATACAGGACATATGTCATGAGAGCCGAAGGCAGGAGGTGGCTTGCACGCGAGGTCGAGCGAAAGCGAGGGAACGGTTGGGACTTGGAAACCGGGCTTTCTGATTCCCGGTCAGGTGTTTGACCATTACACCACAGGCGACTTGCAGTTCTCTTTTATATCAACAAACATAAGGCTTTCTGTTCCAAAGAAAACGGGCACTCTCGCACTCCGTTCAACGTGGTTACCCCAAGGTGAACGTGCGCCCGCACGACATTTCATTCTTGCCTATCCTATGACCCACACTTCTTCACATTCAAAATAATACTTCTTTTCTAATAGTTCTCTGCTAAAATATGCACCAACGGAATCTAATCATCAAGAGCCTGTGATTCATATATCACATATACCATTTGTCGTGTAAAGAAGCAGCGTCGGGGGAAAATTGATTAACTTTTAAAGCAATCATTTAACTCAATATGTTTTTGTGCAAGGTTTCAGACCATGACAATCAATATGAAACCACTGTCACCTCCATACGGCCTATCCTTCATGGTTAGGTGATTGGATAAACTTCGTATTACGCATGTAGATAAAAGCAATCCATGAACTCGTTTAATATTTACAGTAAATGCCACCAAGAAAACAAATCTTGGAATAACTGCAATAGACAAGATGAACAAAGCCTCGGACAGATCTAAAAAGCATTTGAGAGCTCAGTGCAAACCACGGCCTATATGGCAAGGATCTTCCCACCAACAATTCAATGTCCACCGAGCACGTCCTTCCGAATCTAAAGGAAACCCAATGAAAAGGAGCCCATTTCTGCTCCTGTTCTGAGAGCTCAGTGCAATCCACGGCCTATATGGCAAGGATCTTCCCACCAACAATTCAATGTCCACCGAGCACGTCCTTCCGAATCTAAAGGAAACCCAATGAAAAGGAGCCCATTTCTGCTCCTGTTCGAGGAATTTGGGACAGAACACTCTGGCATCTCAATGCAAAAGTAGGAGGAACGGGACGCACCTCAACACGGACTAAAAATGACCCCATCACAGCCTATCATTGTGCCTTACCTGAGAGCTATAGGGATGTTGCGCTCTCTGTCCCTTCGTTTGGAAACTGTCAGTTGGAATTATTCTGGATAGCTGGCGAAACAGCACTTTCTTAGTGCAATTATTTCTCGGGAATGATTTAAGCAAATTTATTTCCTTTCAATAGGAATGTACCACATTCGTTAAAAAATGAAACAGACGGTTGTGCATTCCTTGTCGTTTCATGAGATTCAAGCATGAAAGTATTGGATTCTAAGGCAGAAAAAAGGCGAGTTATGGTATTGTCTGAAATATAAAAAATGTGATTTCATACATAGGGCGTTGGACCCGACGCTCATTTCTGTAAGCTAGAGAACTTCTGTGAGCTAACTATTTCTCCGATGAATCTTGTACGGTCTACACCGTGACGTTAATTATATTCCGGATCTAATGCTGCCAAGGATGACGAATCGCTATGAATTTTCAGTGAGACAGGTAAAAATATAGAGAATGCATGGAAAGTTAAGTGATACTCCCGGAAGTGGAAGTGTCCCATTATCGTTCACAAAAATTGCAATATGCATTAAAGGCTTTTTGATACTGACTGACGATTGAATCAAAATTCTAGTGACCTTCTGCACCAAGTCCTACGTGTACTATACCATGTAATTGTTTATAAATACCATCAGTATTTGTATAGTGATGTTATGGTTCATCTAGCAATATATTATTTAGTGCGTAGGCGGTCTTCTCCACTTGAAGGGATTTTCATGAAGATTCGTTATTTATTTATTCTATAATGCATAATTATACATCAACGTTTAGGGGAAAGACATAAGTTAGTACCACAAATCGAATCGTACAGGAAAGATTTATTCCTCCAAAAACAACATCTCCAACAATTTGTTGAAGTTAGAGCTTGGAAGCCAGCTGGTGCCGATTTAAGGTATAATGAGACGATCGCAAGAATCGGGGCCGTTGATGGGCTGAGCCGGGAAGCCTCGACGGCGGAGACGGCACCGGTGCTCGTTCATCCTGGAAGCGAAGAAGTCCGCGTCTTGCGCCTCCCTCGGGGACCACAGCCGCTCCGCTGCAGCCGATCCTCGCGGCCAAAGTCGAGAATGGAGGTTCGTCTCGTCCACGAATTCACCCCACAGGCAGACTTCTCCGCCGAGGACGAGCATCTTCTGGGCAGTGTTGCCTGGGAAGTTCTCCGGGTCGCACTTATAGTAGTTCTCCCAGTCCGTCCCGTAGGAGATGTAGTCCAGGTACCAGCAAGACGAAAGCAGTGCTGCATTCCCAGCGTTTGTCACCTGAAATAAAATAAAGGAAATCAACGCTTTCCTCTATCTTGACTGGTACAGGAATTTTTCCCCCCACTTTTTTTCCCGCGTGAAGGAAATATCTCCCAGAGGCTTAAGAAAAGGCATTTTCAGACTCCAAAACCCGCAAGAACAAACATCAGTCGAAACTCGACAAACCCTCACTCTGACCTTTGCCAATTCCGTCTCCCAGTCTCCCTTCCAGACGTGAACGACGGCGTCGGGACTCAACCGAACTCCGTTGTCGAAAACGTCCTGCCACACCAAGTAGTTTTTCTTCTTGGAGGAGACGCCGTCGAGGAGCTTGACGAGCCGGTTCATGTAGTAGGCCTGCAGACCCTCGAAGCTCGAGATGTTCTGTCGCGTCATGAAATCCCAAATATCGCCATTCATTTTCCTTAAGGGAAAGAGGGAACGGAATTATGAACGAATTCATGCACCCCATTCCCCTTTCCTTTCTCTCATTTATCATCGTGCGATGGAAATTTCGACAGGATTTTTCCCTGCACATTACCATTAAGTCAGCACTAGACGGCAGTATTCTGGATTAGTTCTGATTTCAAGAAAAATGAGACGATGCAATGCAACTCGCCTGAAAGTCACCAAAAAAATGCCAAACGCTCCATCATCTGCAAGGAAAGAGGTTCTGATGGAAGTGTTCTTGGTTTTTTGAATCCCTACGACGTTTTAGATTGACCTGAAAATTTTGGACGAAACTTCACCCTTCCCGGATACGCGGGAGTGCCGATCAGGAAGTCCAGGACGACACATATTATTGCTAAACTATTCGACGAATTTCGGGTTTCGTGTGATCGCCTTCTCCTTGACTTTCCATGCACTTCTCCCAATGTTTCTACGAAGACTGGGGAACCTCCTGGAAAGCATTATTTCGAACCTCGAGGACATAAGCATCCTTGAAACGGCGGCCTTTCGGGAGACTCCTCTCCTTTCGGAGGAACACGAAATCACACGGAGCGAGTCCTTGGTGGCTGAGAGGGTGTGATGACAGCGCCATTCCACGACTGATGACAAATTTCCTGACGTGTTTTCATGTGCCGCACCGCGCATTGTCGTGCTGGATGATACACGTGCGCTGTGTAAAAGGTTCTGGACGTTTGCGTGTGACATCAGAGATGAATCGTAAGAGAACGTCCCCATAGAGAGCAGCATTCACAGTTTCTCTCCAAGGAACTGATTCGTGGTTGACAATGCATCAAGCAGCCAAGGAAACAGGGATCATCAACTTCTCCCGGGAAACGTGGGAAATCGATGACCTCCTATCGAATTGATATTGGCGGTTTTGACGTGCTTTTGGTAGCGTTTGTTAGTCGTACGTGGTTCTAGTGAATTCGATGCAATTGACAGGCGTTCAATCCATTTCCTTCACAAAAGCGCCTCATTCATTGAATGAATCCTTACTAAGGGACATGGGGAATCCAGCCAGGCGACATCCCGCCACTCACCAGCAGAGGAAATCCACTTCGTCTCCCCCGAGATGCAGAAATCGGTCCGGGAAGGTTTCGAGGACCTCGCCGAAGAACTTCCGGAGGAAGGCGTAGTTCTCCTCGCGGCTGGGGTCGATGGGCCCGTACTCCGGCAGGTCCAAGAACATTTTCCATAGGCTCGCTCCCCGACAGGCGGTGAGCAATCCCGGCATGGCCCTTCCCCACGACTGCGTATGGCCTGATGGAGAAAACAAACGAGAGACTCAATCTCCGTTTTTTTTAATTCTCGTTTCAGCCCTAAACGTAATGGTTCACAATGCTCTTTATAATGACGAACACACTCGAAAAAAAGTTTGCATAATTTCTTCGCTGTAGTTGTGAACGAAATTTATTTTCGTTTGGGTAGGGCAAGGTATTACTGACCGGGCGTGTCGAATTCGGGCACAACTCTGATTCCCCGTAATCTTGCATATTCCAAGATTTCCTTGACGTCCTTCCTCCTGTAGACTCGGTCCGGCGCATACGAGCCATTCTTACTGAAATACAAATTCAAATTTAGTTTTTTCTATGCGAATTTTTACTTACGCGCTGATGGATTTTATGAGGACCTGAGGAAGGGGAATCGGGCGGATTCGTAGGGGAAAGAGTGGTCGTCGACGATGTGCCAGTGAAAGACGTTGAGCTTGTGCATCGCCAT